GCATCGGAAAGAGCCCCCGCACCGTGAGAACAAACATCTCGGCTCTAAAGTCGATCTCCATCCGCATACGTCACACATCACGTGATCAGGAGGCACAAAATCCATGTTTTAGGAGATCGTTTTGGGCCGCTGCTGTAAAAAAAGTGAGGCGCGAACCAGAAAAGCTTCTGCCGATCACAATTCAACAACGGATTATGAAAGAACGGATAACGCTCGAAATGCACAGATTCTTCCTGATGTAAGAGGTGAGACTCCTCTTTGTTTTGGTTGTTTTGGCATTGACATCATCCTAGCGCACAACGTTCTGGTATTTTGTCCAACAGTTGCACAAATAATGTCCAAACAAGAATACACACACACAGAGACTCAAAATCCCGGAGCAGTTTCCAGGCCAGACCGAGGCTCTACTGAGGCCTTTCCACGGAGCTAGCTCTGTGGTCACGTGGGTCTGAGGCTCATTAATTATACAGAATTTTAGGCTTTTAATACACCTAAACAGAAGAGTGAGAAAAAAATTCACCCCCTCAGAGTTGTCATGAGTGTAAACTAGATCATTTAAACCAAAAACATGTTCTGGTACCAGGCTGTAAACATGTTTATTTCTGCTGTGAAATTGGTATTTTAACATGGGAGTCAATGAGGATTTGCTCGCTTCTGACACCAGCCCCTAGTGGATGAGGGTGGAACTGCAATTTTTGGTACTTCCGGGATAGCTTCAATTTTTGAGCCGCATTATGGGGGCTTGAGGTAGACCCAGGACACATTGGAGGGACTATTTCTCTCACCTGGCCAGGGAACGCCTTGGGATTCTCCCGGAGGAGCTGGCCCAAGCGGCTGGGGAGAGGGAAGTCTGGGCCTCTTGACTTAGGCTACTGCCCCCGCGACCCGACTCCGGATAAGCGGATGAAAATGGATGGATGGATGTGTGATTGCTAACCTTCATGAACATGCTGAAGCCAGTCTTCAGCAGGTCTGTGAGGCCTCCGGACATGTGCTCAATGTCGGGACATTCATGTCGGTCCGGGTTGAAAACTTCCTCCAGGATCTGTCGCAGGAACGGACAATAGGTGGCCTGTCAGATTTAAACAGGAGGAAAACATTTAATGATCAGCTGGTCTATGGTGACGGCATAGTTCTTGTATTTATAGACAGGTCACTGTGTTAAACTCTACACTGACTGTGTATAAAAAATGGATAACTAGGATCTCAGAGTTATTTTTCTTATTTAATGTGGGCTACTTTTAACCCCGTGTTATTGTCTGTGGGAGTTAGAGTCGGTGATTATAAACAGCTCCGCTCAACCAAACAGTCCATTGACTTATGAGTCACTTCAGGAAGAGGAGCTTAAACACCTCTGCAACTGGGACAGAAAAATCCTGCTCCATTAAAAGTGGCTAAAAACAGGAGTTTGACCAATGAGTGGGTGGTTAAAGAGATAAATCTTCACTTACCAATAGAATACAAACTACTGTCAAAGTAAAACCATGAGACTTACTAATATAGTTCAGGACTGATTAAACATGCTTTCAACCATGCAGCTAGGACAGGGTCTGTTTACAAAGGATCATAACAGAGGGGCACACAGAACTGGTAAAACTACTTTCCACTCAGATAAAGATACTTCCAGACTTTGTCCCTCTTCCAGAAACTACAGCTTTGCAATGTTTTAGGATGACTGACTGAACAAAGCATTGTTGAGAACAGAGATGCATCACTGCAACATTAAACAACATTATACACTATCCGATTTCTTTCCATCCAGTGTTGCATCAATATAGAACTCAATCCTATCATTAGCGACATGGTTTGATGCTTCAAGAAAAACAGCATTTTTTTTGGACATTTTACTTTTCTGTTTCTGGTGCTGTGAAGCTTACAGGATTTTTACTGCTATTTTTTCACTTTTTGAGCATTTGTTATGATGCGTAACCATGGCAACAAGCTGGTGTACAATCAGGAGCAGCTGATTAACATTGAAAAGGCTGAAATAATACCTTAACTGAAGCCCCAAATCCCAAATGAGCTAAAATCAAATCAATCAATCAAAGATACTTTATTAATCCCAGAGGGAAATTAGAGTTTCAGTACACACCATTCAGAGATCAGACATACATGGCAAGACACATGACAAGAATTGGTGACTGTGGTCATTCGCAACCGTGAGTCGCGCTACCTTAATAGAGATAAGAGGGTTACATGAGGATTGGTTCAGGTGGAGGGAAAAAAAGGCACTTCAGAGTTACCCTCCACTGGGAGGACAGCTTTGCTCTGCAAAAAAAAAAAAAAACAAAAAAAAAAAACACCTCAGACAGAGATATGCAACAGACTTCAGACAACACAACATAAGTGTCCACTAGGAGGGTGGTGGGTTGGGACTATCCCAACTTCAGTTCCTGCAGCCACGATGAGCAGCGCATGTAACCTCAGTGTGGATAGGGGGAGGAGCATTGAGGGTTGGAGGGTTGCAGTGACCCTGGACGCTTCTGCGACCTTCCCGCTGTCCCACCCAGGCTGGAAAAGGAGGCAGACTTGAGTTGCCATAGTGACGGCACATTCCACATATCTTCTGAGGGGGGAGTTTGCGTTGGAGCCTTGCAGGCTCAAGGACGCCAGATTCCGATTAGAAATTGTTTTGGGGCCAGACAGAGATAATTTCCTCTCTGTCTTACAGTTTGTTGGTCCTCAACCTCTGGACGTTAATCTATCCCAATCCGTGCTGATTCGTCCACTCTCTCCTTGATGGCATCCATCTTTTGTGCCAAAGAATGAATCTCCGCCAAAGTCCCATGCTTACGATTTATCTCGACAATTATGTGAGGCTGTGAATTCACAGCGTGGTGCAAACCATCCCTGAGCTCCGGGATCAGGCCAGTATTCCTCGACAGCTCGTCAATTTTCCGGTAAGCCAAGTAGCCTCCAAGGCCAATGGGCAGGAAACCTGACACCAACACCACGAATATCCACACGTCTTCAGAGTCCTCCACAGACAGCTGAGAAAGACAGATCAAGTTCCACTGTTTCCAGGAATCCATGATGTGTCCAACTGGGTCTGTACAGGCAGGACATCCGGGAGCCCCTTCTCATCGTTGAAGAAATTTTATCAATCGCGTTGAGAGACCAGCTGACGAGATCCATTTAAACGCAAGAAGCGGGGTGCAGAGCAGGAGCAAAACAGAGACAGAGAAAGAGGAAATTCAAATAATCTCTTCCATCGATCATAATGGGCAATGTGAGATCACTGGCCAACAAGATGGATGAACTCCGAGCCCATTCAAGGACTCAGCCAGAGTATCGGCAGTGCAGTGTTATGTGTTTCACTGAGACGTGGCTGCAGGACCTTATCCCCAATTCCAGCGTCTCTCTACCAGGATTCCTGACTGTACGAGCAGACAGAGATCTGAAGAGGAGCGGGAAAAAAAAGGAGGTGGAGTGGCAGTGCTTGTCAACAACAGATGGTACCATCCAGGTCATGTTCAGTGAAATGTTGTCTCTGCAGCCCAGATGTTGAACTCTTGGCAGTAAGTTGTCGCCCATATTGCGAGAAAATGGTCACAGGACGCTGAAGAAGCTCTGCAGGGTTGTTTTGAGACCATAGATTGGATGACTCTCTGCCAAGGATATGAAGAGCACATCAATGCCATGACTGGATGTGTCACTGACTATATAAACTTCTGTGTGATGCCGTACAATATCATACGTGACAACGCCATGGGATATAGACTATTTATAGACTATTTTCTAGGATTTTTCTCTTGGACTCAGTGCCGTCCCAGCTGTTTCAGGTAAATGAGGTAGTTGATGAGTTACTCAGGTTAGATCCTCATAAATCAGCCAGATACTCTTGACCCTTCCTTTTTGAAAATAGCAGCACATGTTATTGCTGCACCTACTACCTATCTATTTAATCTGTCCATACAAACTGGTGCATTTCTGCACTGGTGCACTCAAAAGTGCTAGACATCATATGTGCCATTGACAATAAGGAATATTGTGTGGCTGTGTTTGTTAACTTGGCTAAAGCCTTTGACTCTGTGGACCATAACATCAGGCTCAAACATCTAGGACCTTCTCCATGGCATGGTTCAGAAGTTATATCTTAGGCCGTACACAAACTGTGAGAACAGAGGGTTTCCAATCTGCTCCTCTACCTCTGTCTATGGGCGTTCTTCAAGGGTCGATACTGGGCCCAACCTTATTCAAACTCTATAATAATAACGTTGTTCATGCTGTTGACAGTTCTAATATACATTTATATGCGGACGACATCATTTTATATGCATGCAGTTCTTCCTTGAACACAGCTTTGTCCTCCTTGCAGCACAACTTTAATTGTCCAGCGTGCTTTCTCCAACCTTCATCTTCATTTACACACAAGTTAAACAAAGTTCTTGATCTTCAACCATAACTTACCACAATCAACTTTCTACCCTAGTATTGTTTCTCTGGATGGTACAGAACTACAGCGTGTCAGTTCTTATAAGTATCTGGGTATCTGGCTTGACAGCACACTTTCATTTGACATTCACATTAATTCATTACTTTCTAAAGTCAAGTCAAGAATCGGGGTTCTATACCACAACGGGTCATCCTTGACTCATTCTGCAAAACAACCCTTGGCCAAAATGACAATCCTTCCCATCTTAGATTACGGTGACATCATTTATAGGACTGCTTCAAAAAAACTTCTTCATAAACTCGATGCCACTTATCACTTAGCAATCCATTTTGTCACTGGTACCCCTTTCATTACTCATCACTGTGATCTGCACTCACTCGTTAACTGGCCATCACTCCATTCCCACAGGATGTTACACTGGTATTAGTTCATATACAAAACAGTCATCGGTAGAACCCATCTTATCTTCGCTCATTACTCATCACTTCCAACAACCAGCGCAATTTACGTTCCAGTAACTTAATTTCTATGGTTATTTATTTATTTTTTGTTGTACCTGTTTTTCTTCGGTGTAAAGCTAACTATGTGTCTGTTGCTGCTGCCTCTTGGCCAGATCGTCAATTTACATTGACGAGAACGAGTTCATACATGAGAATGAGTTCGACTCATCTGATTAAATAAATAAAAATAATGGATGATGTCCTAAGGTAACTTCTCGCCTTTTGGGTCATCTTTTGCTCATATGTGACTTAGGAAATGTTGCAAGATCAGTGAAAAGGTTCTGGCAAATCTACTATTTCCCCCTTTCAGAATAATTAAGCAATCCCCCATCAATGATCCTGCACTTATGTGTAGTTTAGAATCCTTTTGTCTCAAAATCATTCTTACATCTTTTACATGGAGCCTCAATCAAAAACATACCTTCCAAGGTGCTGAAAAGCAGAATCTCAAGTAAAGCCTCATAAATGTCTCTTAATTCTCTGAAAATGTTATGCACAGGGAAAAAAGCCTTCTGCAGTAACAAGGACTCAGCTTTTTCTACTCAGCTACCCAGGACAAAACGTACCATTTATAGCCCACGAGGCCAGCAGCACAAGAATTCAAGAAAAGTGTTTTTTTTAATGAGAGAGAGGTTTGCTGTCTCAGAGAACAATAACGAGCCAGATAAGGCTTGGCAGAGCTTTACTTGAGTTGAAGTCTTTGTATGAACATGCTGATTATGTTCCAGGGCTGGAACACTGGACGACATTTAGATGAGACAAAGTGACCCATTAATGATTTATATCAAAAAACCGAGTGAACCAACAACCAAAACTCATCATTCAGATGGCTGCTGTTGAGCAAACACTGAATTTCTGCTGCATCTACCAAAATGCTGATCTCAACTCTAAGAACTCACCTACAGATGCAATGTAACCCAAATGGTAAAGCCTGTGGATGCTTCCACACCTTCTCATTATGTGTTATCAGTCTAATCAGGATCGGGGAAATCCTACAGTCCAACTTACATAAACTAATATCCATCTTCACCAGCCCCACTCTGCCCAGTGGATCAGTGTGCATAAACAAACCAGGAGTAAACAAGGCAATGACTCAGTGTAAACAGCAGTGCAGGTGTAAACAACATGTGTGGTCATGCTCTTTCCATTTTCATCGGATTTTCAAATAGCTGAAAGCAGTCCAATTAAATTTCCACCTCGCGATGCCCACAGGATCAAAACAATTATTACAATTAGTCATCTGATGAAAGCGGTGTGTAAATACAACTTTGTGCACACAAATGTGCGCGTCTACACACACACACACACACACACACACACCCTCAAATGTGAGTATCAAGGTTTTTTGGGTTTATTTTTTTGCACCATTTGAATTGCTTTTATTATCTATTTATTCATTGTGTTTCACTTTTCTTATGCACTGTGTTCAGCGCCTTGGTCTTCCTGACAGGGTCGTGGAAGGCGCTTCATAAATAAAGCTTTGCTTTGCTTTGATTTGAAGTTCCCTCCCACAGGTTTTGTTGGCATTGAGGTGGATGAACAATTTAATGATCCCAAACAACATGGTGACAGACAGAAGATGCACCACAGAGAGAACAAACGACCTTCAAGGTCCTTTGGCATAAACCATCTTCTAGAACACTGTTCTCCATTTACAGCCAATCTGTGTGAAGAACAAATCCAATCCATGCAGACCCTAACATCTATATGAATGGTCTTAATGTTTTGGCTGAGCAAAGTAGGGTTTAAGCTGTTGCATAACTCCCACTTTTATTGCTAATTTCCACAAGTGATAAAATGAAGCTCCTTTCTTCTGATGAGCTCATTTTATTGGACAGAGCTCATGCTGAACAAATTCCGATTACACACTCTGGAATCCCAACAGACTTCAATTACTGCTGTCTGCTGGTCTAAGGAATAAGGACTTCAACTTATAATAATCATAACAGAGAAGCCACTGCTTCTGTTTCTCTCTACATTTATCATCTTAATTAAAATATAAAATAATTACTAGCGTTCAATACACAGATGCATCAACCACTCTAACGAAAAAAGAACAAATTAAAAGTAAACCTTTGACACGGTACCAACACGTCCTAACGCTGTGGGCTGAATGAGTCTAATTCAGGCTCCATTAGTAACAACATGAATGACTTACATAAGCTGAAGTGATAAAGAGATGAGTGGCTGGTTCTGACCTACGTCTAACCTCACTGATGCTTTTCCAAATTCGTCTTTTTCCCTTCTAAATTAAAGATCTTGACAATAAGGTGACTCTTGCCCTTTCACCGATTCTACGTGCACACTTGTCTAAAAATAATTTAAAACATTCAGACAAGCTAGAAAAAACACTGTTTGCCCCAACTACTAGTTGTATGCAAAAAGCTTGGGGAGAGAAGCTCTGCGCACTGTGAGGAAGTCATGTTGATCAGCTTCACCTGACTCCTGCCGAGAGAGCATGATGGATTTTTGATGTTTCTCAAGAACAGGTGGTAGCTGGCAGATATCATGCTGTTCTTCTTTCACATCAAGTCATTTCTATAATTTCCACTGAAACATGGACAGAACAGATCCGTCCCAACAGAAACAGAGCGCTGCTCATGTGCATGTGTGCACAGGCACCATTATGAAAAAAGACGAGATGTTTTTCTTTGTTATTAAACTCCCCAACGCCACAGAATGAGCTGACTGAATATTTAGATTATTTTTTGAGATAAACATGTTGCTCCAGTAGAGAAAATGATTCATACAGTCACAGGAAAAAATCCTTACATTATATTCCATCACATAATAATTCCTAAAGCAAAAACCAAAATTAAAAAGCTGGAATAAAAATGCACTCTTGCAGCTTCAATTGGATTTAAGAGTGAAAAGCAGCAGCCAGGTGCTGCTAACCATATGTTTGCTGGTTACCCATAATGCTCAGCGCTCAGATTGGCCAGCTGTCAGCACGGAGGTGGAGGGGTTATGGTTTGAGTCCACCTGTCTGACAGCTGAAGCTTGAGCCAAACTGGGTCAGAAAACAGCTTGATGATCTTAAGCAAGAAAATCAGCAGCAAAACATCAGAAAAAGAACAGAATCAATTTGTTGCGGCGGTCCAGTCAAAGTCCAGAGCTCCACCTTAAATACTGTGGTGGTACCAGAAAGAGCTGAGCAGATATAAACACCTGCAAAACCAAAATCAAGTGAAGCAATGTGGTACTAAAGAGAGGCTCCAGACTCCTTCACGAGTGTGAGAGTAAATTATGACATGGTGGAATCTGCTGCCTGTTAGGAACACCTGAGGTCAGATTTGGTGCAGAACAGATCCGTTTTATCATCTCCTCATACATGAAGCCACTGAACCAAAAGATGGTGGACTTTCTCATCTAACATGAGTGTAGGTGAAGCAAATGTACTCAAAGACCCATAGCTGTCTCTGACCTGGTGGACTCCATCACTTGCGGTGTAGACAGAGCGTAGCTGCTTGAGATGGTCTCTGGTGCTGCCCAAACCTCTGAGGGTCCTGAACATCTCTTCCACCGCCACATGGGCTCGTTCTGTGGTTAGCTCCTCTGCGTTACAACACCCTAAAACGGTAAGAGACATATAAACACTCATAAAACACAGAAGAAATATCATCCCAACAAGAAGTATACTGATAGGAACTTTTATTGCCATTAACATGCAAACCACGTGCTGCTTCAGAGACTGGCATGTTAAAAACATGGAACAAAAACATCTGGAACTGCAAAAACCTCAAATGACCATCTGATGCAGCGTGTTACCTTCTGTGGGTTATTTTCCCAGCTGGCTGTGCACCGAGTCCAATTATGAAAGTAAGTATATGGAAGAGAGAGGACAAGAGACCTTTTATTTAAACTGCAGTCTAATCAAAAAGCCAGGGTTCCCTCCCTTTTCTTCAGAAACGCTCGGGAAAGTAAAGTCTTGATGAGCCAGAAACAACAGCGTGTGAGATGAGATGGCAGTGACAGAGAGCAGTGGGAGGTGGCGGGAGGAAGACTTTAGGAATATAAATGCAGAAAGAGAATGAAGGAGGACTAGCCAAGATGCTAGTTTACAGCTAAAATCTGCAACGCTAGTCTTCTGGCACCTGAACCTTTCTCTGGCACTGCTGAGAAATGCGGCTGCTTGTTTACAAGCAGGTCAGCTGTGTTATAAAACATCCAACCTGATTCAGCACCTCAAAATTGTAAAACAGCAGAAACACTGATGAGTTCACAATCAGTGCAAAGCTACATAAAACGGTGGGTTTCACGCAACATTGATGTTTATGCAGGAGAATGAACCATCTGTGGCCCAGGTGCTTTGGGTTAGACCTTCACATGTCAAACTTCAGAACACAGAGCAATCAGACTTTGTCTGGGAGGAGCTTCTGCTTGTTTTTCTGCAGGCGAACACCTTGCACGGCGGCTCTGCCACCCTCTGCGTGTGAGCATGTGTGTGAATGGATGAATGAACAAGAGCTACCCTTTAAAGAACCTAGCTAGGATCAGAAGTGCTGACAATTTATCACGTTGTGACAGACTGCCACTGACTGGAACTTTCCCTCAGGGTAATAGTGGCACGCATTGTGTTATAATCAGCATGAGACTTTTATGTCTCAGAAAACAAAAGGATGCAGAAAGTGCCCTTAGACGCAAAAACAAGTGTGAGGGTCTGTTTGATGTGAAGGTCAACTCACAGTATTCTAGTCCAGGGTGTTCTACAGGCATTACTGTTGTGATTTATAAAGTTTATTTTATAAACAGAGCAATTGTTTTACACATATCTGTAAAATGGATTTTTGTGAATATAAAAGTTAGGTAGACATTGAGAAGGATTCCAGTGCAGCTACTGCCTGAACTTTTGTAATGCCATTCTAAAACAGAATTATTGTTATTAACTCAAACCCGGACAAAATGCAACGTTTCTGATGTATAATGGTATGAAAAGTGAAAAAAGGACCAAGATTGATGGAAATGCTGAAGTGGCTGATGAGAGTCACCACACCTCCCAACGGCTGTCTCAAAAAGCCAGGCAGGTGGAGGAAATGTTGAGTATCAAGCCTCGATCGAACCGTAACTGCAAAAAGAAAACATCCTGAGTTGTAAATGACAAGTGTTTGATGGTCACAAGTTTAGATTTTTTGTTTTTTACACAAGACATATAATAAGATAAAAGACTTCCAGTTTTGTGGACAAACTTCTAAGCTCCGAGAGAACAGGAGTGTGAGACTTAGGCCGCTACCCGTGAGACACACGATGGACGACAGAAGACAAGAGTGTTGCATAAATAAAGTATTTTTGCTAATTATGTCAGTGTTGTATGATTAAATCAACCAAAAGCTATAGAACATCTAATCAAGGAATGTGATGAAAGAAAACCATGACTAAAAAGGATGAACCTAACTTTGTCATCTGCAATAAATGAAGACCAATAGTTTATAAGGACTCCTGATTCTGGACATTTCTAAAGGTAATAAAGTGTCTGCATTGAGAAACACTTGGGAAGCCATCGTAAACTCATCTTTGTGGAGTGGGAGGAATGCACACCTTTAGAGAAAACAACAAACATGGAAAGGGAAAAGAGATAAAAGCTGGGAAAAGGATTGAGAATGAAACCAGACACTCACGCAATGTTAGTCCATCATGAGAGGCCATTTTTAAAAAATTTAGAAACAGCTGCAGGGTGTTTTTGCAAAAAGAGCCATTCGAGTGAATCAAAACAGTGAAGATAGGCGGCTGAGGCTAAAACCACTGAGCTGAAACTAGATTTATATTACAGATATGTCAAATTCCTCTGAGATTTACATGATTGGTTCTCAAAAATACAGAAAACAGCCATTTTACAGCAAAATTAATAACAATCATTAAACAAACCACTTCTATCTTAGGAAACATATCTGATAAACATAATAGAGCCCGGCTTTGCATGGCATCTACCACCAGACTTGTCATCAAACCCTGGAAACTCTGAAGCTCTTCTAGAAGAAATCAGGTCACATGTTGAACTGGCGCTCCATCTGAATGGAGGAAAGAAGCTGATGCACACTGTGGCAGAGTGATATGTGAGTTTCAGGTCAGATCAAATGCAGCACATGTGGAAAAAGTCTCCCTTTATGCTGCAGACGGATTGTATGGACTGTAATCTGTTTTGCTGTGAACTGATGGGAGTGTAAAGGGATAACTCTTACCAGGCTGCTAAAAGACATATTTAATTTGGCGCTGTATATGTTGGGGAATACGTCACCGTCCACGTGCTTCAGTAACATACACCGAGCAGCTTGACTGCTTCAGTCTGTTCTTTTTTTCCTGTTCTCAGTCAGTTTTCCCCTCTTCTCTTAAAGACCACACCACATGGCATGTCTTTGTTATGAGCTGCTTTTGTCAGGAATGTAGTGTCTGGCCCGTTGGCCTGCTCTCCTGTGCTCGTCGGGCTTAGATGTAAACTTTTGGGGAATGCCTCCTAAAACAAAGTCGGACAAGGCATTTGTGTAAAAAATAGCACAAATAAGGAAAATACAACACAGCAAGGAGCAACTTTAAAGGGACTTTACGGAGTTTTGAATTTTTATGCTCGCGACTGCCCCCTCTGGCCAAAAGCGTAACGGCAGCTTCAATAGTAGGCTCGTGCACGAGGCGCGCATGCTGTACGTGCACACTCCTTAACGAAAATAACAGCTGAGACAGTCCCGTGTGTGTGTGTGTGTGTGTGTGTGTGTGTGTGTGTGTGTGTGTGTGTGTGTGTGTGTCCCGGAGGACAGAGGACAGGAGAACGTGCAGCTAATTAATTAAATAATGTGGTTCTGTAGCTTTCTCTTCAGCACAGCCGACAAAGGTGTATGATGGGTCAGTCCTCCTGCATGCTCAGATCATTCCCTTCCCTTGCTTGAAAAATTGTTCCAAAATGAAAGTTGAACCCACATCTTTTTTATCTGTGAGTTCAATGCCGTTCGGCGAGTCTCAAATTAAAATTTGGGCATCTTACTGTAAAAAAATATATCATTAATGTAAAAAATAAACTCTAAATAATTAATGTTCACGTCCAGAATCGAACTCCGATCTTCTGCACGAGAGACCGACGTCTTACTAGGTGAGCTAAAACACCAGTAACGTCTTTTGCATCTGTAACTCTTATATAGTGGATGACAGCTGAAACAACGTCAAACCAAAGAGCGGTTCGGAGCGAAAATGGCTATTTTGTTGCTAATTTGCAGGAAATATCTAGAAGAAAGTTCTACAGAAAGTAGCTAAGGGTCCTCAGAAATGTAGCTAGCTTTGTCACTAGGCGTTAGGAACAGCGACAAAGTGGCACTGCCTCTCTCTCTGCTGCTAAAGCTACGGATAGCAAATGCTACGGGCGATGCCTGAGCGTGAACGCGCATGAAGCAGCCTGCTCGACCCGAGCATCTCTCTTTTTCTGTGATTTTACAGAAAAACAGGCAATCACAGTAAAAATGCCAGGGCTCATTCTACAGGACCAGGGCATTGCAGGAGAACGTATGAAGAAGACATTTATTATTTCTATACATGTTTTGGCTGTCACACTTCCATAATGTCCCTTTAAGTTTGTTTTATCAGCTAAAACGGAATACTGAGGATAGGTGGAGGCAGAAGTGCACCAAAATGAGCGTTTCTGCGTGGCTGCTACTGGCAAGCCGGATGACTTGTTGCCAAAGCGTACCGGTGCAGGTCCGGGTCTCGGTGTGGGGCTGTGGAGGATGCAGGCTTCCTTAAGACGGTCTGTGTTTTGGATGTTGATCGTGGCGTTGCAGAACCTAACAAGGACCAGGTGCTGATCTGCAAACATCCAGTTTGGCTGTGAAGCTGAGCACCTGCGTCTGAAGTCACGTCACGTGTTGCTGCTGCTCTGCTAATGCTCTGGCATCACGCTTCAATCTGATATCTCACATTGAAATATGCGAGCAGAGTTCTGGTTTGCTCTATTTAAGTAAATAACAGCCACTTATTTCAGAGTCACTAGATTGTTCCAGCAGGAGTTCACGTCTCTATGATTAAAGCTTTCGTAGGGTTAAGGCACATGACAGGAAATGAGTGTGCAGTCAGTTCAATAGGCTGAGTGCAACTTTTACTTCCATGCATGTATTTACACCTCAAACCAAGCAGTTTTAAAGAACTGATATTTACTAACGGACTCAGTCTACGCTACAGAGAGAATTCAGACCAGTCCGGGTACAAAGACCAGTGAGGGTGTGGGGAGCAGGAAACGTCTGATTGAGACTTTTCTTAATTGGATTTAACAGCACCGGAGGTGAGCAATAGTTACCAAGTGAGGTGTGAGCGTCCCCGGAACGCTGCAAAGGTAGAGGCAACCAACCAGAGGCCTGTAAGGCTAGTGAATGGAAATGAAAAGGGACTAAAACAAAGTATAGAGCAAGAGCTAATACAGTCAGATCTAATCAGGAAAAGTTGCTGCAGTTAAACAATGTGTGAGTGAAACAGTACAACTACAACTAGCTAAGAAATGTTTGACAGGTCTGGTTCATTCAAGTGTTGGTTTTGAGAATGCACGGTGCAATTTTGTCAGTCTAAAACAGAAAAACACAAAACTAGGTGTGGGAATAAGG